CACACCTAATGGAATGGATATGAGCAACACATCTCGAAGAACAACAGTTACAACGGTGAGTAACCGTCTTTTCTCCCCAGTCTGAGCCTGACCTTAATGGAATATAGAGGGGGGGAAAGTCCAGCATCTTTCACAAGTACTACAGTCATTTAAAACAAAACTAAAAACCACAACATACCACAATGACAAAGATTGCTGTTTTCTCATTAATAGGTCAGCTATCAGAATGTCAGCTGTCAGCTATCTCTCACATCCTGCATGGCCCAGAGGAGTCGGGTGATGTGGGCTCATTCAAATTCTATGTCCCAGATTTGGGCCCTAATTTCTTATTAGATCTCAGTGTCTGTTTTCTCTATTTGAAAACTTTCAGAGAAGGTACTAGTGGACTTAGTACTCTGTGGACTTGGAAGGTACTCTGAACTATGGTACTAGTGGCTTAAAGCAGGAGTGATACAAGAGATGCAGCAAAGGATGGGAAAATTATATCTGGGAATTTTAGTTACAAGAAAGTTATTACAAACCTTAACATTCTTTAGTTTGCTTTCTTTGTTTGTTAATTGTAATACTTTAATTTTTAAATAAATGGAATCAGGTAGAAAATTGTTAACATCAACAGGTGACAGGGTATTAGATGCAGACCATTTCATGACCATTTGAAGCTTCATTCCATTTTAAAATGTCTCCATTGAACTAATCCCCTTCAAATGCAGCACTTAACACATACGTGAACTACAACGGGGTGAAATTTTTCATCCAAAACTTCTTTCAGCAGAAATGCCGATTCCACAACACTGAAACCTTTTACAAATTCATGTTGATTTTGCTGAATTGTTTGTTTAAAAAAATCCAAAACATTGAAACATTTAGTTTTATCGTTTTCTAAACAAAATGTTTCAATTTCAGTTTGAAACAACTTTTCATTTAAAAGTTTCCTTTTCATTTTCATTTTAATAGTTTCAAACAAATCAAAATCTAAACAAAGCATCTTAATTTTATCAAAATGAAACATTTGTTTGACCTGAAATGAACATTTTTTTAAACTTTTTAATTCACTGAAATTTTTCATTTTGGGCTGACCTGAAACAATTTTCTTACTTTTTGAAATTGCCAACAAATAAAAAATCCATTATTCACCCAGTTCAAATGTGAACCACATTCAGTGCCCTGGGGATTATGACCTTCACCACACTTCAGTTCTAGTTGAGTAGGGGAGGAGTAGAGAAATAACCACTTTTCCATGGAAGTGAGGTAAAAAGGCTATTGGTCTTGCCACAGCTACATCCCATTGAAGAGATGGTGTTGCTACAACTATTCCCCACTGTACATGGCCTTCCAGAAGTCCACAAACATTGCTGCCTATAACCCTTTTAACTGTACCAGGTGGAGCGAGGACCTGCCGTCACAGTCAGGGTCAGCTGGAATGGTTTGTCAGACTCTTTAATGCTATAGCAAAACTCAAAGATGGCAAGTTGTTTGGGTGAACAAAACTACTTCCCAGTGAGATGGTTTCAGTATACCTATTTTGGGGTTCTGGTTTTGCAGTATAGTTTGCAGTTACATTCTCTGAGGCTGTGTATTGTGTCTGAGAAGCACTTCCATGTTAATTATTGTGGGCCACTATGAATTAATGTTGTATTTACATGTACTCGTGTTTTATATTTCTGTAGCCTAATATTCCCTGGAGTGCGGCTGGGTGCTGACAGTCAATTTAGTGATTTCCTTGATGGCCTTGGACCTGCACAGTTAGTAGGTCGACAGACACTAGCAACCCCTGCTATGGGTAAGAATAATTTATTCTCATGTATAAGACAAATGCTATCCCATTGACCAAAGTGAAGTTAAGGTGGCCAGAATGCAGCTCCTGGGCTACAGTCAGCCAAAGAGTTCTACCAAATGGCCTCCCCCATCTTTAACACAAAGGTGCTGTTTCAGAGGCAGTGCTAGCCCATTGGTGGGCCCAAACAGAAATATTTTGGAGGCCCTCCCCAGACCCACTGATGGAGTGGGGGGGGGGCAAAGGGAACCCCAGACCCTTTTACATCGCCCAGTGTGTCGCAGGGCTCCTAGGCATGTGTGGGGTGGTACTGGCAGCAGAAAAGGCAGCCAGGCGGGCATGTGGAAGTCCTGGCTGTGCCAGGAAAGCATGCACAGCAGTGCAGCCAGCAGCAGCTCACTGGGCAACAGCCAGTGCAGGCGTAGCACCACCCAAATCTTAGGTGGACCTTTCTAGGGGACCCACTGACCGTTCTGACCTGGCCAGAGTCATCCCTAGGGCACGGTGAATCGGGGTGACTGCTCCGGGCCCTGCGCTTTGGGGGGGTCCTGCAGACCGGCATGATTGGCCAGAGCAGTCGGTCCTGGAAGTGGCGGATTAGTCATTTCTGTCCCAGGCCCCGCAGACCCCAAGGGATGGCCCTGGCTCTGAGGCCTGGAATTGCTGTCAGCAGGCCTGGCCCTCCCACACAACACATAATAAACAGCAAATAGGTGCCCCCTTGAGCTTCTTGGGGGCCTAAGCAATTGTTTAGTTTGCTTATGCCTAGCACTGGCTCTGCTGTCCATAAACAGAACTGATGCTCTGTTTCTTCCAAAAATCAAATGAAGATAGAGCATTTCATCCTGGGACCTGTGATGTCCACAGAGCTCACTTCTGTATCAAAGACGGTGGCCTCAATCTGTTCCTTTCTATGCAGAATAATTATGGTCCTTGGCTCCCGGCAAATTGCTAGTTCTCAGCTAGTTAGCATTTCTGCATGGTTGCCACTGATTATGTGGCCAATAACGGAATCTGACCCAGATTTAGCTGATTGAAAGATAATCCAAAAATCGGAAACTCTACTCCATATTTGCAACAAGTCTGACAACCAATTTACAAATGATGCCAGTAGATCGTTGCTGTTGGAACAGATTAAAATTTAAAGTCTAATTTCCAGCAGCCTCTCAAGAGCCACCTATGGTTTGCTCTGTAATCCGAAACATCTGAGAATCCCCTGGAGTACCAAGCGCTACAGGTTCGCCCCTGACACACCCACTTAGGGTGACCAGATAGCAAATGTGAAAAATCGGGACAGGGGGTGGAGGGTAATAGGCACCTATATAAGAAAAAGTCCTGAATATCAGGACTGTCCCTATAAAATCGAGACATCTGGTTCCCCCAACACCCATTCCACACTCCCTGCATGGACACTTATGGAGAGCCTGCGTAGGGCTGTTTATGACGGCTTTATGCTCTGCCTGCAGTGAAGAAATTCTTCCCCGGGCCCTTGCAGGCTGTTTACAGTACATGTGAACCACCACAGCAGTGTGTAAGGGCAGGAGCAGGGGCAAAATCCCTTTAGTCTGCATCTGAGTGATTTGGTGACATATTTTGTGGCTGTGCATTGAGGATGAAAAATAAATAACCCTTGACATCTCCACTAGCCTTATCACGCTATGCAAGTTAAAAATCACATATAGCAAGTGTTTTGGCTGAGGAGTCTTAAGCCCTCCACAGGGGGGAGAGGATAGCTCAGTGGTTTGAGCATTGGCCTGCTAAACCCAAGGTTGTGAGTTCAATCCAGGGGTCATTTAGGGAACTGGGGTAAAAATCTGTCAGGGGGTTGGACTAGATGTTCCCCTGAGGTCCTGTCCAACCCTGATATTCTAAATGTGTTTTTTTCTAAGGAACTCAGGTCCAGGAGGCTACTCAGCTACTACTGAGGAGAAGTAGGGAACCAGGAGGAAAAATGGGAGAGGGTGCTCTCTTCTTTGCAGCTCATGAGCTCTACAAAAGAAGAAGTCTTGAGCTGCTGTATAAATCCAAACTTAATTATATTTTGTAATAGAAGTTATTGGGCTATAAGCTTATTGAGCATGCAGCCTGTACAATGTTATAACCCCTCTTAAAATATATCAGATTTCCTTCTTACAGGAAACAAGAAATGTCTGGGTTCTTCTGTTGTCCATTTTAAAATCAGGGTGATCCCAGTAGTGAATCCAGGTGCTAGCTTACATTCACCTCACTTTTTGCTTAAAAGTTGTTTTCCTCCCTAAACCTCTTCCAACAGGGCTCCTGAGTGCTAACAGTTTATTTCCATCTATTGGAGCCTTTATGTCTACAGGCTCAGAGAAGATTTTGGGCTACAAAATTCACACAATCGTTCTACCTAACACTTTCTTTTCAAGGGCTTATACCTAGTAGATAGTCGTCTCTGCTGGTTTGAAAATGTCTGTGTTTTGGCACCCCCTGCTGACTGCCAGTAGCATAGACTGGATTTGAATATACAGGCTTACAGCATTGAAAGGTAGCCCAAGAGCACAGTTTATGGAATTTTCCTCTAAACTATTTTTAGCTCAGTACAGAGCTGTGTTTGTTGAAGCAAAGTTTTGATAGATAACAAACCAGCCCTGCTTGGCTTGTCATATCTCGAATACTAGAGCAGTCCAGGGCACTGTGCTATAATGCTATAATATTCTGTTAGTGGAACAAGTGTGCTAAGGTCTCCTTTTCGGTTACGTTTGAACAATAATACTTTTATCATTATGAATACAGCAAATTCTGTAGCTCAGGTTTATTCACTATTCTTTGCTTAGAAACATGGACCTACATGTCAGACATCAGAAGGTCAGGGTCCTGCACAGGTGGGAATTCCATTTGCTTGCACAGTTACCACAATTGCACATGTCCAATGAGGTATTTGAGTGCCCAGATAGCCAGTTACGTGACTATCTACCCATTTGCATGATCAGTCTTGGTGACTTTTTTTATGCAGCCCTGAACGTCTCATGGTTTGAAAATCAGACCCATAATTACTAAGGCCCAAATCCACAAAGGGACTTAGGTATTGCAACATTCAGTGTCACAGAGACTAACTTGTAGGTGCCTAGCTACCCAATAGAATCCCAATAGAATCCATAAACCTTGGATTAGGTGCCTCATCTCCCTCTGTACTGAATGGTGACAAATAGGTGACTCAGAATGGGATCATCAAAACCCATCACACTAAGCAGGGAGTCACCTAAGCTAGCCAATAGCAGATGCAGAGGAGAGGGGTGGGAACCCTCTCCTGGAGTCAGGCACCTAAGCCACTTCTTGCAAGAACAGCAGTGGTACATGCCTAACTGCAGTGAGACCCACCCTTCTAGTGGTGGTGAGGGAACTCACCTGGGATGTGGCAGATCCTGGATCAATTAACCCTTTGACTGAGGAGAAGGGATTTGAACATAGGTTTCCCACTCTCAGAGGAACGCCCTAACCATTGCTCTAGAGTGTCATTCTCATGCTGTCTCTGGCTCAATGCATATTTAAATATTTATATACTGTGTAATGGCCTCAACCAGAGAGATTGAGAGAGACCAGCATCAGTGTGTCTCACTCTCCAGTGGATAGGGCACCCACCTCCTCCTCCCTCCGGACCATTTGATGTGTAGTTAGCATGCTCTGAGAACGCCTAGCATATCAAGCCCCACAGCACCTCATTTGAGCCCCATTTGAGGATCCCACTTGAGCTTAGGTATCAGGTATCTGGGTACCTAGACTGATGTGCACATGTCTGATGGCAGAAACTTAGGCATCACGGGGACTTGTGAAAATGCAGGCACTGAAGGATTTTAGGCAACCCAAGAGCTAGGGTTAGAGGATTTCAGTGGCACCTAAATTTTTGGACTTAGGCACCTAAAGTGGAAGTTAGGCACCTAAGTTCTTTTGTGGAGCTGCACTTAAGTGTCTTTTTTCATTTATAGTCTTTCTTTCCAAGTCAGAGCAGCACTTGGACCCCAACTCAGCATTTTTTTTTGTCTGCAGCTGTAGCCAGAGTTGTCATTTGCCAGAACATTCAGAACCGAAGAAGCAGCTTGGAAATTTTGTTGTCTTAATATTCTGGTTGTCTGTTCAAGATGCTGTTTAGGAAGGGAACTGTCACCCTCTTGCACTCATTAAAAAACTTTTGTAAAAAAAAAAAAAAAATTGTGAGCCTCAAAGAACTTAGTCGTTGGCTAGACAGACTGCAGTCTACTTGTCTGGCTTTCTTCTTTCTGAAGGACAGACCTGCAATGTTTACAGCCACACACTTACCTTGTAAAAACAATGAGGAGTCCTTGTGGCACCTTATAGACTAACAAATTTATTTGGGCATAAGCTTTCGTGAGCTAAAACCCACTTCATCATATGCATGGAGTGAAAAATACAGTAAGCAGAATATATATCATAGCACACAAAAGGATGGGAGTTGCCTTACCAAATTGGGGGTCAGTGCTAACAAGGCCAATTCGATTAAGGTGGAAGTGGCCTATTCTCAACATTGACAAGAAGGGGTGAACACTTACCTTGTGCTCCTTCCGTCTCTTTGTGTATCCACTTGGTATCTCTCCTCTTATACATGGATCAAAGGCTCTTTGAGGAAGGGACCATCAACAGGATACAAATCCCTGACTGGAGACTCAAGATAGGGGAAGTTTAGGCTTGAAATTAGATGAAGG